GGACTGAAGAACACAGGAGACTAGCTTGGATGCAATCCGTGTTTAGTGATGCTGCTTTGTAAATCAAAATAGCCATGCCTGTGGCAAAGTTCTGATAGAGGAGGAGGAGGAGGAAACAGCACCGGCAGGAACTCTTAAGGTCACAAGAAAATAATCCCGTCCCTTTTAGACAACCAGGATTCTTAGCAAGGTTTTCAAAATGGGCTCCAGCCAATTGCCGCGGAAGTTCACACCATCAGGGGGTTCAGATAAGCTTCTACCCACAGGAAATGGCTGCTAATAAAGCTGGAGGCACTTTAAAGCTCAATTAGGGATTAATAGGGCAGCACAGAGGTAACGGAGAGTCTATTCGCCAAAACCAGAGAGGTTGAAATCAGGAAACGATGAATCCCCTTTGGCTTTATTTACCAGGCGGGGAAAGCAATGTTGGGTCCCTGCCGTGCCAAGAAAGGCTACTTCTCCTTTCTCATGCTCCACCAGGGTGGACGCACCTACGAGGAAGGGGCTGAGTTCCTCTTAATGCATCTCAGAATCTGGAACAAGAGGCAGACTTTGGCCCTCTCTCAGTCCATGATGAGTAATTCCCTCAGGTTGTGACCTGCAGGTAGATGGTGAGGCTGAGGCAAATGGGTCAGATGCTCTATAAGTAAATACACAGTCATTACTGTGTTTAACCCTTAACCAGTAATGCCGTACACTTTTTTTTTAGCTTGTTAGGGTTACACTTTACACTGTTTGACTGTATAATTTCAAAAGTGAATAGAGAGAGTTTTTTTTAGTAGCCGACAAAGCAATATTCTGGAAGCTGCTGGTTCGTGGTCTTACTTTCCCATACATAAAACCAACTAATTTTGCAAATATTCTAAACATTTCAACAAAACGGATTGAAAGGTCTTTTATGTACATTTTTTGGTCTGTGTGTCTAGAAAGGGGGATAAAATACTCAAGCGCTCAGTTAAGCTGCATGTAAGTGACATAGGTCCAGAACTGATGAGACAGTAAACTGAGGCATCACTTATAGGAAGCAATTTCGGATTTTTTAAAAATTATTGGAATGCCAACTAATTCACTTCACTGCATAAGACCCAGGGGTGGCCATCTGCTCGATGGATAGAATCTGTAGAAAAACTAAGCTTTATTCCACAGTCCCAATAATGCTTTGATGCACCTCCATCTTTAGAAGAAAGTAACCTCACAGACATAAGTAAATCCAGGGGTGCTTGTGATAACAGCATCATAGGTGTCACAGCTAGAGAAAGAGAAAAGGGCAAGCAAGATGATCAAGAAATTAGTATTCAAAAATATTTTACCACTCTGGGCACATTCTGACCTATAGCTTTGCAGAATAATTACACTAAAGCCCTCACAGGACTCAGAGTGTTTCTGTGTGACACCGTTATAGATTTATAGCCTAGTAAGGTACTTTTCCACTGGGGAATTCAAATGCAGTGCCTCTCAACCAGCGGCTCACGTTGTCTAGGCGAGACATCAGATTTTCATAACAAATAATAGGAATCAAGTCTTCTTCGATCGCCGCCTCATGCAAGTGTGACTGTCTATCAGATTACTCACATGCATGAATTTCTAGCAAGTTAGTTGTGACTCCGGACACTAAGAGTTTTTCCTCATCTGGCTATCAGCTTGCCGTAATTAATAAATACAATAACAGAATGTCTCTAAACGTATAAACCTATGCACAGGGAAAGAGACATAAACTGGAAGTTTTTGAGGCCCAGCTCAAAAATCTTCCGATGTCGGTGTTTATAAGGCGCTGTAAGTTAGGTAGAACCAGGAGGGAGAATCGTGGTATCTGTCGTCCAGAAAAATAGAATTTAAAAAACCCTGATCTGTAGTGTGAACCACACTCTGACTTCCCTGCTCCAGAAGCTCTGGAGAAGTGACAGCTCTTAAAATGTCAACGCAACCAAAAATCCTGGAAGGGCCAGGATCATAGATGGGATTTTACTTGCCAACCCTTGTACAATTTGCTTGGAGACGGCGCACGCAAGAATTTCCATCCTAGTCATAAGGTTCCACTTCGGGGAAAGGAGTGGAGCAGCTCTTAGAAATGAGGCAAACCGAGAATCTTCACTGGAAAAGAGACACTGGGCCCCGCTTGCACCTTTGTAAACCACACTGGCGTTTGTATGGAGCCACTTGGTGTGTTCCCCCCCCCCAAAAAAAACACTTCAAAAATACTTCCTAGATCTTTTAATTTTTAAAAAAAATTCTTTTTTTTTTCATGAGTGCACCCAGCTATGAGAAACAGCATGGAGAAATAAACTATTTTCAGTATTGAAAACTCAGCAGAGACAGGAGGAAACTTATTTTAAAAACCGCATCACCTCTTTTACTTTAAAGAGGAATTACTAACTGATAGCTCAGCTGTCTTAAACGGTGCTTGGCTATCACTGAGAGAAAGAGAAGGAAAAACAGCCCTTTCAAAATTTTCTTAATCATATAATTTGCTTCTTAACATTCCAGAACTGCATGGATGCTGAAAAGATTTGATTATAATTCTCACAAAAGATTGGACAGAACATTTAAAAATAAAATTTAAATGACCTCTCCAGTGTGAGAATTATAAAATTATTTTTTACAAGAATTATAAAATATTACATCTTTTGCTTTTTTTTAACTTGCTCTGGAGCTTAAGACCTGTAAAAATGTGGTGGCAATAATATATCTGTCCGTATATTGGTTTATTCTGGGTGTTTTTATTTCTTTTGCATCAAAGTAGCTTTTATGATCATGTTTTGTTAACAAAGTGGTAATGTTTGTTAACAAAGCAACTGCTGGTATTTGCACACTTATCGTACTTCTACATCAAACAAAATATACTGAGGTCCTTTGAATGTTTCAACAGAGGGATTTTTTTTTTTTACATAGTTACGATGGCCTTCTGCAAGAAACTGACACGCTCTTGTTTCAAACAGCTTAGTGTCTTAGGCCCGGTCACTGAACCAACTGGAAGCAGATTAACTGTGCATCTTCTCACGAAAGCCAGCTTCCCTGTTTCCCAGTTATTTACTCCAAATTAAACATTCTTTCCTCCCTCTGTTATCCCAAGTAGGTTGTTCATAAGGTACCGGAATTTAGAAGTCACATAGCTGAGCAAATGCAAGACCCACTTTGCTTTAAAAGCACAACTACTGTACACCCTTCCTCTTATCATCTCAGGAGAAGAGCTGCTTTCTCAAGGAGGAGCTGTCTGAATTGGACAAAACTGTCAATGAGAAATAATATAAAAAAGCAAAGTATGTCGCTTATATACTGCCCCATGGAGCTTATTATACCAATTGCAGAAGGACAGAAGGTTGACTGAAACTTGAGCCAGCTACCTGGAACTGAATCCAGGACGTGAGCAAAGTTTCAGGTATACCAATTGCAGAAGGACAGAAGGTTGATTGAACCTTGAGCTAGCTACCTGGAACTGAATCCAGGTTGTGAGCAGAGTTTCGAGTGCAGTACTGCAATTTAACCACCTTGCCATGAGGTTCTGTTACATAGAAATTACACTTTTTTGGGGCACAGCTGACTTGCAAGCTGTCCATGTTACATAGGTGGTGGAAACTCCTTTGGCGACTGGGCTACTCAGGACCTTCAGCTCCAAATGAGACAGAAGACATGTGCTTCTTTCCCCATGTATACAACATGAACATTTCCAGTAAGAAGGGGAGTGGGAAAGGAAATCTGACCCTATGTGCTCAGCCAATTTATGCCCCCTATTTTCTCTCCAGGTTGTGAGCAGAGTTTCGAGTGCAGTACTGCAATTTAACCACCTTGCCATGAGGTTCTGTTACATAGAAATTACACTTTTTTGGGGCACAGCTGACTTGCAAGCTGTCCATGTTACATAGGTGGTGGAAACTCCTTTGGCGACTGGGCTACTCAGGACCTTCAGCTCCAAATGAGACAGAAGACATGTGCTTCTTTCCCCATGTATACAACATGAACATTTCCAGTAAGAAGGGGAGTGGGAAAGGAAATCTGACCCTATGTGCTCAGCCAATTTATGCCCCCTATTTTCTCCACACACACACACACACACACACACACACACACACACCAGTATTTGACTCAAAGACTCGAGACAAGGGAAGAATACTTTGGTGCCAGTTTTACTGATGAAGCATGGCCCCCACTTAGCGGAATAGTCTGACATCCATCATGCTCCTACAAGTCTTATTTTTAAGTGTATGCTGAAGACTGCCAGTTGTTGCTGCTGCTGCTGCTGTTTTAATCCTCCTTTACTACCTATTTTATAAATCAGGTAAAGGTTGCATTTTGATTTCGCATTGTCCGACACTATGTTCCATTGGCAGCTTATATATATATATATCATGCGAGTCACCAAAAAACCCGCAAAACGCTTTCGTCTTGCGAGTTTTTCGTTGCGTGAGGCATTCGTCTTGCGAGGCGTCACTGTAATCACCTTTAACTTCCTATCTTAATTTTGGAGTTCCCGTATATAAATTCTGCAGGTCTCAGACTGCTACCTCGAGCAAAGTGTCTTTATAAGAAAAGCAACAAACAACAAACTTCTCCTCCTGTTAGCCTCTGGGTGTTGCCTCAGTGCTAAAGAGCTTACGACAATCTTGGGGCTTATTAAACTGCGGCAAACCTTTGCCTGAACTGTGTGTCTATAAACCGGAAACAAGAGAAGGCAACAGAGCGAAGCGAATGCCCACCTTCCTCCTTCTCCTCCCAGTAACGCAGAGACGGATATTGGGCTAGATTCAAGTGCAATCAAAAATCTCTCAACATCCAAATGGCGACACCTGAAAGCAGACTTCCTGGAGGGCTTCCAGGTTCGCTCTTATTTTGAAAAACACCAGTTTTCAGCCCACATGTTTGGGGTTAGGAAGAAAGAAACAAACAGATTTCCAGACAATTGTGTCACCCAATCTTGGGTTTTCCTTGTCGAACACTCGTTCTTCATGAACAATTCCCCCCCCCAAGTGTTAAATATTTGCAGTCCTTCTGCATCCCCTACATACCTCATACGACCAGACGCACTGCACGCCTGCAAACCTTCGTACGCATCTCCCGATCTCTACATCCTCGTGGGTCGTGTACATCTCTCGAAGGCACTCACCAATGTGGGGCACCATCCTGCGTAACACTTCCCGACTCATGATCACGCCTGGGCCCCCCATGCAGAAATTCTCTCCCGGTTCCAAGGCCAGCTTCCCCATCTCTTCAGTGGTGCCCAGTCCTGTCTGCCCAAGAAAGAGGGGCTCGCTGCTGTTTAAACTCCGGAGGAAGTTCTCCAACTTGTCCCCTTTGACATAAACGTCGTCGTCGGCTCGCATGAACCATTCGTATTTGTCCAAGTAGTGGTCATGCATATACTTGAGCATCATGAACGATTTCTTCTGGGGTGGGTAAGAATCATCGACTCCAGGCAGGGGCACGATGGGTATTGGGACAGAGGTATCCGAGCCCTCGCTGGAAAAGAACTCAACCTTGCCAGGGATTGTGCTGGACCACGTTCTGAAAAACAAAAGACGAAAGCCAGTTAGGAAAATTTCCTGGGGCTTTTTAATCAATTCTTATTCAAAAACCTGGGCCTGTGACTTATATGTAAGATAGGGTTTCTCAACCTGAGAGTCAGGGCCCCCAAGGGGACCACAAAGTGTTTTGGGGGGGGTTGGGGTCACCTTCTATGTGTCATAGGTAAAAGTTCCCCTTGACATTTAGTCCAGTTGTGTCCAACTCTAGAGGGCAGTGTTCATCCCCATCTCCAAGCCGTAGAGCCAGCATTAGTCCGAAGACAGTTTCCGTGGTCACGTGGCCAGGGCGACTAGACACAGAACGTCGTGACCTTCCCACCGAGGTGGTACCTATTTATCTACTCGCATCTTTACATGCTTTCGAACTGCTAGGTTGGGAAGGAGCTGGGACAAGCGACGGGCGCTCACTCCGTCGCATGCATTTGATCTTACGATGGCTAGTCTTCTGACCTTGCAGCACAGAGGCTTCTGCGGTTTAACCCGCAGCGCCACCGCGTCCCTATACCACCAATTTAGCTGCCCCAAATTGTAGGGAATCATGCAGGATGTAGATCTGTCATCAACACCTCAGCAGGGTTCTGTAGGAGAATCTAGCTAGGCTGGGGAGTTGTCGCCCATCTAACAAAAATAGCATCCCATAGGTCTCATTCAAAGAGCCACCAGAAAGGGAGATTTTCACCAATGATTACATTTTGACTGTACATTTGAGCCATGAAGTCTAGACAACTCCATATACACTTTTCTTAAATTTCCACCTCCAGCTTCTGCCTATAAGCAGTGCGCTTTCAGAAGGCGGAGATAACAAAAAAAGACTCTGCTCAGAAACTGCAAACTCCTTTGCTTTCACTGGAGGTAGGAACATTTTAATTTATGTTAGCTAGCTTTGTTCCAGACATAATCTGTGCTCAGAATCTGATTTGAAAACACTTCTGTAGTGTGAAAATGAAGGGCTTCTTAAAACATACTTTTGCTATGTTATATCCAACACCTACAGATATTTTTCAGATAAGAAAGGGATCTGTTTGCACATCAGCAAAGAAAAAAGGAGGAAATACTTGGTTCTTTTAGGTTGTATTAGAGTTTAAAATATTCACACTTTCAACACCTTTTTGCACATATCTGAACCATCAGCTTTGTTCTGAAATAAATATGTGATTTTTAAACACTGAAATCAGGGGGAAGAGGAAAGAGGTGGCCATACCTCTCAAATGCATATTGACTGGAATCAAGGCATACTGTAATGTTATGCTGTTGTCATAACAGCATAGGTCCACATAGTCAAAGCTATGGTTTTTCCAATAGGGATGTATGAAAGTGAGAGCTGGACTATAAAGAAGGCTGACCACCGAAGAATGAATGCTTTTGAATTGTGTTGCTGGAGGAGACTCTTGAGAGTCCCTTGGACTGCAAGGAGAACAAACCTATCCATTCTGAAGGAAATCAACTGTGGGTGCTCAACTGGAAGGACAGATCTTGAAGCTGAGGCTCCAATACTTTCGCCATCTCATGAGAAGAGAAGACTCTCTGGAAAAGACCCTGATGTTGGGAAAGTGTGAAGGCAAGAGGAGAAGGGGACGACAGAGGATGAGATGGTTGGACAGGGTGATTGAAGTGACCAACATGACTTTGACCCAACTCCGGGAGGCAGTGGAAGATAGCAGAGTCTGGAGTGCTCTGGTCCATGGGGTCAAGAAGAATTGGATATGACTTAACGACTAAACAACATGCTGTTGTCACTGTACCAGGCGTTGTGTCCCAGAAACAAGGACTGTGTGAGGTGATTGTGTAGTTGATAGTGCACCAGCAGAAGTATTCCATGGATCCACACTTCCACCTTGGCACAACTGTAGCTACCACATGGGCAATGTGAAGTTATGCTTGCTTAGCCACACCACCCTATTGCAGCCATCATCATTAAATAGAACATAAACTCTTTGGTTTTTCTAGATTTCTCTAACCCCACCTTCTTTAAGCTTTTAGGCCAGGTAGCAATGATCGTCTTGCATATAACAAATAAAATGTATGTTAAAATTAACGGAACGCAGGACTGTAGTTTAAATATCGAACATTTGCCCCATCCACACCTATTCCAAGTTTGCCCGTTAGAAATAAAGAGTGTGCTCCTTCACGAATGAACACCACAGTCTTTCAATTAAGAACAAACTTGTTTAGAGATTCCCCTCAGCGAGTGTATTTTAGAAAAGTAGGCAAACAATCCAGCCCGTACCACAAGATCCAGCTTTGCTTGATCCATTCTTAAAACGCTCAAGGAATTTCTGACAGTGCCATGCTAGGGCCACTGCAGCCATTTAAACATCATCATCCTCTTGGAACTGCAGAGCTGGAAGGGACCCTGTGGATCATTAGGTCCAGCCCCAGTCAAGGAGGCGTTGTGGGGAATCGAACTCTCAAACTCTGGATCCACAGTCAGATGCCTAATCCATTTGAACTTCCAGGCTGCATTTTCCCACACAAGGTCCCCGAGTTCCAAAATGGTGCCTAGAATCTGACAACGAGAAGTCCTTGCTTTGTTGACCAAGGAAGGGCAGGCAGACGAGTGCCTTCCACATTTCTACCAGGTCTACTGCCCTCAATCATAGTAGCTGTGAACGATGCCAATGTCCGCGTCCTAAGAGATATATGAGGGCAAGACCCACGTCTTAGGCAACTCACTACGAAACCCAGTCCCAGCTCTTCTCTCCTCTCTCCTTAGCTTATCAAGACCTTGTACAACTTCTCTACTTATAAACACTCTTGGCTAAATAAACCTTCTTCAACTAATTGACCTAAGCAGATCCAATTGGTTTCAACATTTCTTTTTTTAAAAAAATCTGAACAGCCAGAATGTGGGGAGTTCTTGATCCATTCAGAAAAGCTCCATTCCACATGCTATTACTGAGAAAGTCTAATCTCTCTCCCACCTCCTCCTTAAAAAAAAAAAAAAGCCCGTACCAATCTAAATCCAGATCAACGCAGCTACGGTTTACAGTAAGGAGATAGTTAGAAGGAAGGGGTAGGGGAAGAACACCGCGTTCATTTTCTGGAAATCATTTCCAGGAAACGGGTTCACCTTCTCACCCCCCCCCCAAAATTCAGCGGAAATGAAACCAAGGCAAAACTTTTTTCCACACACAGTCACCACAAAAGCCAAAGGGGGATAAACAAACATTAATTCTGTGTCTATTTTTATTCTCAAGGTATCACCAAGAGTTTTAAAATATAACCAGAAAACAGAAGGCTGAAGCCACTGTGAAAAGCCATCCTCCAGAATTTAGCATCTGGGGCTCTTCTTTTTTTAAAATCTGTTCCCTACAGCTGTTTTCACTGCGAATGAGGCATCTTTACCTCAGAAGAACACTTCCCCCACCGCAGATGGGGGGATTCATCTAATAAAGTGGCAAGATTAGGTTTTCCCGGCGACTCCCATTTAATGGCTTCCCTTTACAAAAGCCAATTAATCTCCTTACTCGCCTTTCCTGCACTACGAAAAATGAGCCGCAAATCACAAACCGTAAGAAAGAGCAGACCAAGGAAGACAGACGGAGAGGCAGTTTCACTGCGCCTCCGACTTTGCCAACGCGTCTCAACGTTTCCACCCTCGAGCTTTTTGCCTCCAAACTCAACGCAGTAGCAACACGATCACAGATGAAGATAATCTGAGACGCGATTATAAAGGGCTGTGGGGGGGGGGAATGAGCTTTCAACCAGGGGTGCTGCTCTTTTTGATCTATTTAATGGCTTTTTAAATGCTTTTAAAAACTGTTTTAAGATAGCAATAGTCCTCATGTGCCAACAAGTCAATTCTGAATTACGGTGATTTCGTGGTTTTCCAGGTAGAGAATACTCAGAAGTGGTTTTCCATTCTCTTCCTCTAGGGGGCGCCCTGGGACTGTGCAGCTGGCCCAACGCCACCTAGGCTGGCTCTTCTCCCAAAAAGCACAATGGAGGAATTGAACTCCCAACCCTCAGCTCTGTAGCCAGAGAACCTAAACCACTGAGCTGTCCTGCGGTTTAATCTCATACTTCCCAACAGGATCAACAGCGGTTGCTTTGGCATGGCCCTGTCTTACATGCACAGCAGCCAATGGGTGGTCAGAATCCCAAATGAAAATCTTTAGGGCCTGGTACCCAACGGGCAGGTCAACTAGCATCTCTGTTGCCATTTATGCTAAGGTGAGCTGGCCCTCCGCACCGCCTTTGCCATAGCTTGGGAGAATATTACGGCATTTACAAAGGGCTAGAAAAGATCCCAGGCATCTTACCTGTCCCCACACCTTCAGATGAAGAACTGAAAACAGAACAAACACATTTAAAGTACACCCTTCTCATTCCATTCTAGTGGCGCAGGTGAGCGGGTCTCCTTCCTAGATACCAAATCATTTTACGGCACACCTCTAGTTGTAGTGCTCAAGCACGCCGAGTGCTGGTGTTTACACAACTCAAGCGATGGCATCTGTACACAGGAAGCACTGGCTAGGTGAGGAGAACCTCCAGATTTACAACAGGGCCAAAACCCCACAGAGGGACCACCCTAAGGAAGGAGGCCTGCTCCTCTTCAGAACAACCCAGGGAGGACAGAGTGGGATTAGTCGTGAAGGGGGAAACGATTATCAAGTGGGAGAGTGAGGGGAACAGATCTTTGTGGTGCTGGATGTGGTCGGCCAGCTGGGACAAAGGGTAGGAGCGCCCGCCCTGCCAGATTGCGCTTCAGGTGCCAAGGACTCTTCTGAAACGGTGGCTCTTGCCCTCAACTCAGAGAGGAGCCCATGGACCTTGACTCCTGCTGGACCATTGCTCTTTGCAACTGCCTTGCCCAGTTTGTCTCCAAGATTAACCTCTTGGATTTTGACCTCTGCCGTGGCAACACATCACAGACTCCCTGTCTTCCCAACTTTCTTACGCCCTGGGGAAAATCACCTGGGCGGGCCTTCTCTCTATCAGAATTCTCCGGCTTATTTTATTTTTTAAAGCAAAGTGCTC